TCGTGTTGTAAAAACTAGTACATGTAGTTGTTTTGCCATATCCAAGAGAAATGAACATCTAAGCAGGAATAAAAGCTTGACGAGTATTGTAATAATAACAATAGCTTAGGGATATGGTACCCTTAGTCGTAACAATGGTACCATTGGCCTTAACAATAACATAGTGATATGGTACCATTTTCCTTTACAATTGCACAGGGATATGGTACCATTGGCCTTTACAATTGTATAGGGATATGCTACCCTTTCGTTATAATTCCTAGTATATTACATCTGGCGACGAGGACGGGATTATGAGTATTATCTGAAATATTACCGAGTTCGATAAGGCGAAGGAAAGTTTCGATTCTTATGTGGAACGTCTCGAAAATTACATGATTGCTAACCAGGTCMAGMAGGAACAACAAGTGGCAGTTCTTCTGACAGCAATTGGAGCCGAAACGTACGGCCTATTGAGAAATCTGGTGACACCGGCAAAACCGGAACTCAATGAAATATGCCGAGCGAGTTGAAAGGCTGAGAAATCATTTAAACCCAAAGCCTTCAGTGATCGCMGAGCGATTTAATTTCCACAACCGCTTTTGAAAAGATGACGAAAGTGTGGCGGATTTCGCGGCCCAACTAAAGAAATTAACCATCAACTGCGAGTTTGGCAATTTCTTTGACGAAGCTTTACGAGATCGATTTGTGGCAGAGCTAAGAAAGGAACAGATCCAAAGGAAACTTCTCGGTGAGCGAGCTCTGGATTTTAACCAAGCTTTGCAAATTGCTCAATCGATGGAAATGGGATGAACAACATATCAGGGGAATTAAGGGACACCGGGACCACCCGGATTATCGGTATCGGCCTCTATGCATCAAATTGATAACAATTCTACTCGAAGTAACACAAAAGCATCCAAAGAGSTAGACAAGTTCTGTTTTCGTTGTGGGTCAAAAGATCATCTGGCCAATGTATGTAAATTTAAGAAGTATAAATGCAATGCATGTGGTAAAGTAGGCCACCTGTCTAAAGTTTGCAGAAGCAAGACCGCTAATAGTGAACAGGAATCCCAAGGAACTCATCACCTTGATGCTACTGAGGGTGACGATGACCCATTGGGTATGTTTGCAGTTCGTGGCAGTATTGCAGATGCTGTAACCGTGTCAGTAGTAGTTGCAGGAAAAAACTTGAATATGGAAGTGGATACCGGAGCTGCTGTAACTGTTATTCCCAAATCAGTCTATTTGCAACAGTTCAACCACGTTAGTCTGTCTCCCTGTGAAACACAGCTGAAAACATATTCTGGAGCAGTGTTACCTACCATGTGAGAAATGCTTGTTGATGTAGAGCTCGAAGGTCAGAAAGCAACTCTTCCCCTTGTAGTGGCTGAGATCGTTGGTCAACCCCCAGTGTTAGGCCGAAACTGGCTCAGTGTAATTCGCCTCGATTGGAGGGAGCTGTTTAAAGTATCCACAGTGATAGAGAAACTATCTAAGTGTAAATTAGTCATCCAGTCGTGATAATTAAATAAAGTGATAAGTCAAATACTGGACCAAAGTTGAAACGATTCACGACGTTTCGACCGATTACACCGATCTTCCTCAGGTAGAATGACCAGTTGAATCACCAACCAGGCAGTATTTGACTTATCACTTTATTTAATTATCACGACTGGATGACGAATTTACACTTAGATATCAAGTCCAAATACGGGCTCGTTTGCCCGTATCTCAAGTACGAATTTTGGAGAAAACGTCCAGAAAAATCGCAAACTACCGTAATCATCTTCGGTTTAGTCTACGTTGCCTTCAAAACCACATTGTTCCACACAGTGTCAAACTCAAGAGCAATGTTAATGGTCAAAAAGCTAACAACATCATAGCTAATGCAGAGAGRAAGTTGTTGAATGAACGAGTACGTCAGATCAACTCAACTATTGCTAATCTGAGAAGCAAGGAAGAATCTAYATCTAAAGGCCTATCTGAGCTGCTGTCGAAAGATGATTATTCGAAGGTTACTGATTTCACAAAAATTGCCCAGTTGTCGCAACACGATCACAYCAAAAAGAGACAAATGGACAAGTTCACCAGATTGTTTCAACAACAAAAGTTGTCCCAAAACCTCAAGAATACATCTCTGACGACCAATAAGATCAACAAATGGGTCAAAAATCTATCAGATCGCACTCTGTCTCCTGGTGAGAAATCGCTGTTAACTAAAGGTCTCAATTTTGCTGTGGCTCCAAGTACCATTCTGACTATTGAATTGATCACAGCTACGGAAAACGCCATTGCTAATGCAAATTTAGATCAAGAGAAGTCAGACGCTCTGAGATTAAAAATTTGCAATTCCATTCATACCGCAAAAGTACCGCATTCCAATCTCAGTAAAGAAGAAAAGGCCGCTTTGTCCAGTCTAACCAAAGACAGCAACATCGTCGTTCTACCAGCGGACAAAGGCAAATGTATTGTTGTTTTGAATACCAGTGATTATGATAAGAAATGCTTGGATCTTCTTAAAGATAAGAGAACATACAAACGCGTGGGCTACAATCCGACGAATGGTTAAAAGAAAACAGTGACAGACTTCGTCAACCGTCTGTTTACAAGTGGATTAATCAACATCGATCAAAAAAGAANGCATCATCTTAAAGGTTAGATCACCGACTGTGAGTGGGCTGCACCCATTGTAGTCGTACCCAAGCCAGATGGGTCCATTCGTATTTGTGGGGACTATAAGGTCACCATCAACCAGGACATGGATGTAGACCAATACCCCTTACCTATTCCTCAAGATCTACTTAGTGCACTAGCAGGCGGAGAACCAGTTTACTAAGCTGGACTTAAAACATGCTTATCAACAGCTTAAACTGCAGTCAGAATCAAAGAAGTTTCTTACCCTCAACACACATAAGGGATTATTCCAATACCACTGCTTACCGTTCGGTGTTGCAAGTGCACCAGCCATCTTCCAGTCCACTATGGATCAGATACTCCAAGGAATCCCTGGAGTGGTGTGTTACATTGATGATATCTTAATAACAGCACCTACACAAGAAGAACACTKGAAAGTTCTTGAAACGGTGTTACAACGATTATCCAGGTATGGTGTGCAGCTAAAGGCTGAGTCCAGTTCTTGGGTTATCTAATTGATAAAGAAGGGGTACATCCTGATCCCGATAAAGTTCGAGGAATTATGGGAGCCCCTGTTCCTACCTGTGTCACAGAGCTGAGATCCTTCCTCGGCATGCTTCAATACTATGGAAAATTCCTCTCCAATCTATCCACCTTGCTTCAGCCATTAARCAACCTTCTGCGGGAAGGGGTGAGTTGGTCCTGGGGTTCTGATTGCCAAACAGCATTTGAAAGTGCCAAACAGCAGCTACTCTCAGCCAAGCTCCTGACCCATTATGATGTTAATTTGCCCTTGGTCTTGGCCTGTGATGCTTCTTCGTATGGTATCGGTGCCGTGATCTCCCACATTATGGAAAATGGAGAAGAGCGACCAATTGCTTTTGCATCCCGGACATTCTAATCCAGCGAAAGGAACTATGGTCAAGCTGAAAAAGAGGCTCTATCCATTATCTATGGTGTCAAGAAATTCCAACAGTATCTTTATGGAAGAAACTTTTTACTAGAAACTGACCACAAACCACTACTTGCCATACTGGGACCAAAGTCTTCTGTACCCACATTGGCCGCTGCTAGACTCCAACGATGGGCCCTGATCTTATCCTCTTATCAGTACCAGATCAAGTATCGATCCACCGACGCTCATGCCAATGCTGATGCACTTTCCAGACTGCCAGTTGACCATGTGACAGCATGTCAGGGAAGTGAACTTTATCACTTTAACTATGCTATTAATGATCTTCCTGTTACTTGCAGGGACATTGCACATGCTACACAGAAGGATAAACTCCTAGCACCCGTTTTACAGTTTGTACGAAATGGCTGGCCTGACCAATCTAGTGTGCCTGAAAGTCTTTTACCATTCTTCCATCGTCGTAATGAGTTGTCAGCAGAACAAGATTGCTTACTATGGGGTATGAGAGTAGTCATCCCAGATGAATACAAATCGGTATTGCTTAGCTGTCTACATGAAGATCACCCAGGAATCTGTCGCATGCAAGCCCTCGCTCGGAGCTACCTGTGATGGCCCAAACTGGATGCAACTATTGAAGATACAGTACGCAACTGCCATGCATGTCAGGAAGTAAAGAAGGGGGCTGTGGCWGMCCCGCTCATTCCGTGGAAATGGCCTACCAGGGTATGGCAGAGGTTGCACATCGATTTTGCAGAATTTGCAGGGGTAAACTACTTGCTCGTTGTGGATGCCCACTCCAAATGGCCTGAAGTGTTTGCAACACATTCTACTACTACATCTAAGACCATYGACTTGCTAATTGGTCTTTTTGGTTCGTATGGTCTCCCTGAGGAGATTGTGTCAGATAATGGTCCCCAATTTACTGCTGAGGAGTTCCAGGCCTTTATGAGGTCCCATGGAATCATCCATACGCGGATTCCACCTTACCATCCTGCCTCCAATGGAGGAGCTGAGAGGTATGTACAGACCCTGAAACAGGCCCTGAAGACCAGTCAACTCGAGAAGGGTGCCTCCTTACAGACACGACTTGCTAGTTTCCTGTTTTCATACCGTAATACTCCACACACGGTTACTGACCAGACACCTGCTGAATTGTTCTTGAAACGCCAACCACGCACTAAACTCTCCTTGCTACAACCCAACCTTGCACAGCATGTTGAAGGAAAACAGAAGATTGAGAAAGAGCAACATGATCATGGTCGACACAAGACAAGAGAGTTTCTACCAGGAGATCAGCTACTAGTCAGGTACTTCCGTGGAAAGAACAAGTGGAATAGAGGGACTGTTTTGCTCCGTCTTGGTCCTCTTGCTTACCAAGTAAAGGTCGGTGACCGCATGTGTCATGCACATGTTGATCACTTGCTGTTGGCTAGTGATTCGTCTGATAACCGCAATAATGGGTGCTCAGCAACCAAGGAAATGCCCTTGCCGGAACCAATGCCACTTGCAACTGTACCCACTGTGCCTGATGCCGCAACTCATCCGGAGGAACCAAAGAATTTACCTACCACACCTCAAGTTGTGATGGCTAGGCCCGAAAGATACAGTAGACCAAAAAGGAGCATTAGGCCACCTGATCGCATAAATTTATAAAGGAACGTTTGGACATTTTGAACTGTAGTAACATGTTGATTTTTTTATAAGGGGGGATGTGTTGCTATATGTTGGGTTACCTGTGCCCCTTGACCATATTAGGGAACCTCATGGTCGGTTGTGTGTGCAATAAAGCAGAGACAAGACAACCCAGAAGTTGTGTGCTTTCTTTCGTTATAATTCCTAGTATATTACAGTTAGAGGGATATTTCCCTGTAGAATTCTAAAGTTCTTGAGTCTCTCAATGGCTCTTTCAACATGAATCCTCAAGCTGGCAATCTTGMGAGTGGATTTTACTGCTTTTGTTGATAATTGCTTGCCTTTTAAAAAAATTAAACTTTTACAAACATATTGCTTTACTCACAGTTACGAGTGAGTCAAAACACTCAACATTGTCCTCACATTAGTATCATACCCACATTATGTGTATAAATTTAATGAAATTAAATGAAATTAAAGTAATTCTACAAATTGCATTAATCACAGTATAAGTCTTATGCATTTTATGGTTTCTGTATTAAGTTAATACAATAAAATTAAGTAATAATGCTTATATATTGAGTTATATTTACCTTTGCAGAGTGGTGGCATGTTAAGTTCAACTTTGAGCTTTGTTAGGAGGTCTTTAATGTCGAAACCCTTGTCAGCCATGACAGAATCACCAGGCCCCAATAAGTCTAGAATGCCACTGCTCTCTGTTATTTGTCTGTCACTTGTATTCCCAGTCCACAACTCAGAAACAAAACTAAACATGCCATTAGGAGTGATGCCTATTAAGGTCTTCCTTGTATTGTGGTGTTTGTACGAGCTCCATGTCGCTCTTTGAGCAATTGGTGTTGTTGGTTTTTCAATGAATATTTCTGTACTGTCAATGATAACTATATGTGAGACAGCTGCATATTTAAAAGACCCAATCTGATTTTCACGAGCGTCATGAGGAATTCTTGAAATAATGTTAATGTCTTCTTTCTGCCTGGTTTACTTTTCGTAGGATTTATTTGGTAGCCGACCTTTCGATTCTTGCTATGGTCCCAGTATTTCATATTATTGCAAAGTGGTTTATTAAATCAGATTGAATATGTTTTATCTGATCATTTTGCTGTTCACTGTCTATTGTCTATTGTCAAACCTGTCAAAAAACCACGATTTGTCACTTATCGCAAACTTCGTTCAATTGACTTAGATGTTTTTCGTCAAGATATTACTGAGTCATTGCTAYGTAAATCGCCTGCTACTGATGTGTCTGATMTATGYCGTYAATATGACTCTGTTCTTTCTACACTTCTTGATAAACATGCTCCTGCTCGAACAAAACTTGCTTCTTTTCGAAGAAGTGCACCTTGGTATAATGATCAAATCCGTGAAGGAAAATTAAAAAGACGTCAACTTGAAAGACGCTGGCGTAAAACAAAATTAACAGTTGACCGTGATCTTTATGTCAATCAATGCAATTTAGTTAAAAATCTGATTTTCACTACAAAAATGACCTACTACTCCAAGATAATTGATGAATCTGGTTCTGACAATAAAGTTCTGTTCTCTACTGTTGATAAACTTCTTCATCGCTCTGCAGAATGCAAACTACCATCTTCTCCGTCACCCTCTGAACTTGCAAATACATTTGTAAATTTCTTCAACGACAAGATTGTGAAAATTAGAAATGATTTATCTTCTCGTGTGATGTCCTGTGACTCTGATGTTTTTACTATTTTTGATGAGCCATCAATTAACTGTACTTTTTCTTCGTTTGAACCTGTTACTGCTAAAGATTTATCTGCCATGTGTAAAAACCTTTTTTCAAAGTCCTGCAGCCTCGATCCCGTTCCTGCTTTTTTATTGCGTCAGAATCTTGGTTTGTTGTTGCCTGTCATTTGTAACATTGTAAATAAGTCGCTGTCATCTAGTTCTGTTCCACCGTGCTTGAAAACTGCTGTTCTACGAAGCCTGTTAAAGAAGCCATCCTTAAATAAAGAAATTCTAGCAAATTACCGTCCAATTTCAAATTTAAAAATGGTCTCCAAGGTAATAGAGAAGGTTGTTGCAGTTCAACTAAACAACTACCTCTCAGCCAACTCACTTCATGAACCTTTTCAATCTGGATATAAGCGACATCATAGCTGTGAAACTGCCCTTCTACGTGTTTGTAATGATATTCTTCTCTTCCTTGATAATCGAAATTGCGTCGCCATGTTGCTGCTTGATTTGTCTGCTGCTTTTGACACTGTCGATCATACTATACTTCTCCAGCGTCTTCGCACTAAATTTGGTATTTGTGGCTCTGTTCTAAACTGGTTCAAATCGTATCTATCTGATCGTACTCAATTTGTCTCTGTTGATGGTGTCAAGTCCCATTCTCTC